GTCAGCAATCCGAGTCCGATGCCGGACAGTCCGAAAGTAGCCCTCGGCACCCAGGACTGTCCGTAAAAAGTCCGATGCTACCGGACAGTCCCTAAAAAGTCCGGTAGTCCGGTCCGGAGCGTCCGAAGAAAGTCCGACTATCATCACGGGTCGTCACAGGACGGTCTCGAGCTGTTTAAGCATAAAATACATTTTTTAAAATTTTAATTCAAAATGGCACCTGAAAAACACTATTACAACCCAAGAATCGAAAATAAGCGATATACGACTTACCCTATTACACACTGCCCCACCCTCCCTTACCTTACTAATTGTCACTGTATGTTTTAGTTTTCCACGTCGGACTTAAGCGAGAAACCGACACTATCCGATGGCAGAGTAGTTAACGATATGTTATCGTGTAACGACGATACGACGATATGGATACGATATTTGTATTGATATCGTAACGCGTTACTTTTTCGACCAACGGTTTGTTGTAACGCGATACGATACGGAGAACCCTGTAACGTCGTAACGTTCGATAGAGTACTAGCTATATGTACGCCAGACCACGTCTCGCGTAACAGGCTTCGCGATATCTCACGAAACACTGTTACGCTGCGACGCGCCTGGCGCACATATAGCTAGGCCTGCGGCGCTGACACCCCAGACGAGTTAAATTTTACGATTTAATAGACCATTTTGTCGTTTTTACCTTATTTTCGCCAAGAAATGCCCCCTAGCACCTAAACGGTACAAGATAGAGCCAAAGGACGAAATTTTCGCCCGAACTTAGTTCTTTCTCGAGTTATCGTGCAGACAGACAGACAGACAAACAAACACACAAACAAACAAACACACAAACAGAATGAAACTTTTCCGGTCAGTGGAGTAATGGGCTTCGCTAATCGCTCAGCCAACAAGTGCTTTTAGAGTCGGAAAGAAATTCACAATTTGCAATGCAGGAGAGCAAATGCCCATTTTCCAAGGCGAGGTGCTTTGCTACCCGAGCCCAGCCGACTGCAACACAGGAGTTCGGCACAGCGGACACGCCCCCTTCCTGTGCGTCGCGTCGAGCTCCGTGTGACAACACAGGACCTATTGAGTCGTCGAGCGAGACAAACTAGCGGCGAGCCGGTTAAAGATCGTGTTCTTGTTGTGTGTCACGCGTCTATTAAACTAGCTATATGTACGCCAGACCACGTCTCGCGTAACAGGCTTCGCGATATCTCACGAAACACTGTTACGCTGCGACGCGCCTGGCGCACATATAGCTAGGCCTGCGGCGCTGACACCCCAGACGAGTTAAATTTTACGATTTAATAGACCATTTTGTCGTTTTCACCTTATTTTCGCCAAGAAATGCTCCCTAGCACCCAAACGGTGCGAGATAGAGCAAAACGGACAAAATTTTCGCCCAAAGGGATCTACTTCCACGAGTTACCCCTTAGAAGCCCATAAAAAAATATGTGAAAAAAATAAATATTTTGCAACCTGTGGTTTTTGATTTTTAAAAAAGCCAAATTTTGAGCTAGAATGCTCATCTTCGAACTCGATCTGTCTTTTTATGATGCAAAACGACCCTGAAAATCCCAGGTCGCTATCTCAATTCTTTCTCGAGTTATCGTGCAGACAGACAGACAGACAAACAAACAGACAGAGAAACAGAATGAAACTTTTCCGGTCAGTGGAGTAATGGGCTTCGCTAATCGCTCAGCCAACAAGTGCTTTTAGAGTCGGAAAGAAATTCACAATTTGCAATGCAGGAGAGCAAATGCCCATTTTCCAAGGCGAGGTGCTTTGCTACCCGAGCCCAGCCGACTGCAACACAGGAGTTCGGCACAGCGGACACGCCCCCTTCCTGTGCGTCGCGTCGAGCTCCGTGTGACAACACAGGACCTATTGAGTCGTCGAGCGAGACAAACTAGCGGCGAGCCGGTTAAAGATCGTGTTCTTGTTGTGTGTCACGCGTCTATTAAACTAGCTATATGTACGCCAGACCACGTCTCGCGTAACAGGCTTCGCGATATC